CTTGTGCTCTCTCTGTCAAATAAATAAATAAAATCTTTTAAAAAAATCCACACCCAGATAGTGGTAACATTTTTAAGTCCTCCTTTCCAATTTTTTTCCCCAATCATGTATCACATTCCATTTTGTTAATATAACCTCTTTCTAGGGTTATTTCTCTATTGTAGGACATCAAGATTGTTTCCAATTTTTCACATTTAAAAGTGCTATGATATATATAAACCGTTTTATATCCTGGAATACAAATCTTTTTCTGCAAGTTTAATCTTATTTCAAGGTGATAATTACTAGGTTGATAGGGTGAAGAATACAAATTCTTTTTAAGGATCTTGATACGTATGGCTACAGTTGCTTTCCTGAAAGGTAGGCATCAGTGTGTACTTTTTTTTTTAAGATTTTATTTATTCACTTGACAGAGAGACAGCGAGAGAAGGAACACAAGCAGGGGGAGTGGGAGAGGGAGAAGCAGGCTTCCCGCTGAGCAGAGAGCCTCATGGCGGGCCTCGATCCTAGGACTCTGGGATCATGACCTGAGCCGAAGGCAGACGCTTAATGACTGAGTCACCCAATCACCCCTCAGTACTTTTATTGTAAGTACAATAAGGACTATTTCATTGTTCCCTTTCAGCATTGAGAACTAATCCTTTAAAAATTATTTTCTTCTTATGCTATTTTCAGAAATCTTCACAATATATGCCACATCTTGTGAAATTAAACAATTAACAAGATACAGGTGAAATATCCAGTAATGGGTTTTATTTTTGTTTTTTTGGTATCACAAATTAAAAACACCCAGGAAAATGTCAATTTGATTTTACTTAAGCTATGATTCAGAGCAAAGTACAGTGAGATGGGAGTCCTCATAACTGGGGCTGTAAGAGATTAAAATATTTTTTTGGATGCAGTTTCAGTAATAAGCTGCTAGAAATATTTTGACCGCATTTGGAGTCACGCTTCCTCAAGGATTGTTTGGCACATTAGGGGAAGAAAAAAGTTTCCTTAACCCTCTTAGAGTCCCTGGCTGGGCCTGAAAATAAAACTGATACAACCAAAAAAGCACAGAAATTTATTTACTATAAATTTTATGTGATATGGGAGCCTGCATAAGGAGATGAAGACCCAAAGAAATACTTAAACCTGAGGGTTTCTATGCTAAAGTTGATGAAAAGTATAAAGTCATAAAAAGTTGGAGATGATAGGACAAAGAGTGTTAGCTAAGTGTAATAAACGAAGGGAAACAGCAAGACCTATTCATTCAGATTTTTTTTTGTGTCCTTGTGTCTTTGGAGGTAAGGCTATTCCTTTCTTCTGGATACAGGGAGGAATGAGGATTACGTAAAACACAGGGCGGTTTTATGACCTGCTTCAGGGGAATGTCAGAAAGTCCTTCTTGCACATGTGCTTTCTCTTATTCCCCCAGTTTGAAATACACAGTATGCCAAATGGCCATATTTTGGGGGTAGCATTGTCCTGTGCCCTGTCAGCACGTACAAGCTGGACTAGTTGGGGCATACAAGGTTAAGGGTCATTCTAAGTCAGGTTCCATGGCACACACGGGTAGACCTGCCCTCCTGACTCTAATCCTAGATCTCTCGTTATTCGCTGGAGAGGGTCCCAGCTTGGATCATGGTGCTCATGTCCATTTACAGTTAATTTTGTTCCCACCTCCAGCCCAAGGCACCTCTTTTCTGCTTACTCTCTTCATATGTTTGTCTTTTCTGGTTAAACAGAAGTATACAACATATCACCTTTTGTATCTGGTTTTTTCGCTTTGCTCGATGTTTTTGAGCTTCATCTTTGTATCATGTATTAGTATTTCATTCCTTTTTATTACTGAGTAGTATTACATTGTATATATATACTGCCTTTTGTTTATACTTCGAGCAATTGATGGTCATTTGGGTTATTTCTACTTCTTGGCTATTATATATAATGTTGTTATGAACACTGGCAATCTTAGTTTGGACATATGTTTTCATTTCTCTTGGGTAGTTATCTAGGAGTGAAATTTCCTGGTCATGTGGTAAATTTATGCTTAACTTTTTGAGAAACTGCTAAACTGTTTTAAAAGATGGCTGTAACATTTTACTTTCCCACCAGCAATGTATGAGAGTTCTCTTTTCTCCACATTCTTGACAACATGTTATTATCTTTTTGATCATAGCCATTTTAGTCAGTGTGGAGTGGTATGTCATTGTGGTTTTAATTTGCATCTCTTTAATGACTAATGATGCTGAGTGTATTTTCATGAGCATATTATCCATTCATGTGTCTTCTTTGAAAAAAGTCTCTTCAATTTTTTGTCCATTTTTAAGTTGGATTGTCTTCTTATTTTTGTGTTGTAATAGTTCTTTGTATAATGTAGATACAAATCTTTTATTAGATGTGTAATTTGCAAATATTTTCACGGTGCTCTTTTATTCTAGTATGCTAGGTGATATTGCTGAAGAAAATTCAGTGGCTTAAAACATCAGAGCTTTATTTTTCATTCCCATATATTTTGTTATGGGTCCAGGCAACTCTCTAGTGCAAATGTGTTCTACGTATTGGCTCAGCGGTGCACATTTCCTTCCATGCATTCTTCCATGAGCACCAAGGCCAAGAAGAGAACATTGGAGACTCTTGTGCTGCCAATGAAGTACCTTCACCAAATATGAGACATGTCAGTTCTCTTCACTTTCATTGGCTGAATGAATGATACGGCCTTGCCTAAATCAAAGGCTGAGGAAGGGCAATCCCTCCAGGTGCCTGAATTGAGAAGATCAAGCAACATTGGTGAGCAGTACTAATGTCTACTATGTGGGGGGAGAAAAGTGAGAAAAAAATAAATATATGAAGATATTTTTAGAAAGGGGTGATGCTATTAAGACAGAAAAACAGGGTGATAGGACAACAATTAACTTGGGGGGACAAATTCAGAGGGGGTAATCAGAAGCAGTCTCTCTGAAGAGGGGTCATTTGAGCTAAGACTCCAGTCACAGCAAGGAGTCATTAAGTGAAGATCAGGGAGGAGCTATCCAGACCTGGACAAAGAACCAAGGGTAAGGGGCGCCTGGGTGGCTCAGTGGGTTAAGCGTCTGTCTTCCGCTCAGGTCATGATCCCGGGGTCCTGGGATCAGGTCCTGCATTGGACTCCTTGCTCAGCGGGGAGCCTGCTTCTCCCTCTGCCTCTGCCGCTCCCCCTTGCTTGTGCGCACTCTCTCTCTCTCTGTCAAATAAATTAAAACAACCCCCCCAACACAAACAACAACCAAGGGCAAGAAAAGACCCGAGTTAGATGGCTTGTTGTGTGGTCAGAAAAGAGGGAGTGAGGACAGTTTATGGGGGTCTAGCTAGAGAAAGCAGATCAAGGCCATTTTGGTTTCCTGGTGAGAAATGTAAATTTTGTTTAAAGTGCAATGGAACTTAGTAAAACAAAAACAAAAACAAAGACAAATGTACAGTATTAAAAACAACAAAGTGTTTTTTTTTTTTTTTTAAGATTTTATTTATTCATTTGACAGAGACACAGTGAGCGACAGAGGGAACCCAAGCAGGGGGAGTGGGAGAGGGAGAGGCAGGCTTCCCGTGGCGCAGGGAGCCCGATTTGGGCTTGATCACAGGACCCCGGGATCATGACCTGAGCGGAAGGCAGATGCTTAACAACTGAGCCACCCAGGAGCCCCTAAAAACAACAACGTGTTTAAACAGGGAACAAACCTGATTTACATTAAATAAGAATTGTTCAGTGTGTGGTATCCAGAATGAATTGAAGGGGAACAACGCTGAATGCGGACGATCTGGCTGGCGAAGGTGGGGTTGGAGAGAGTGTGTGCTTATGGGATGTACTAACAGAGCTAAGGAAAAGAGGAATCATGGAAGACATGAGAGTCATGAGCTTGGGCTCCTGGGTGGGTAGTGTTATTATTTACTGAGAGGGAAGAAAGGGTGGAAGGAGAGTTTTGCTTGGTCTTGTTAAATTTCACATGCTTATCACACATACAAGCAGGCATTTAGATATAGGAATCTGAAGAAAAGTCTGAGTTGGGGAATTACATGTAGATTTACCGCATCCTGTTTTAAAATGGTCATAGTCTTAGGCCTTATAGATGTGCCATCAGCCATATAATAAGTAGCTCTATTCATGGACTGAGTGAAAAAACTTAAATAAATTACACATCTTAAAGCAATGCAAAGTTGGAATATGTGTACAATATCTTCGTTCCACTTATGCATTATAAGTTTTAAGTTACAAGTCCACTTGTGGAATTGCCAAGTCTATGCATTTTCACACTTCTTTTTCACTTTGCATTTTGAAAGGGGTCAAAATCCTTAGAGATGTTTGCACCTATCTAGGCTTGCAGCAACACAGATGCTTCCTCACACTCTAGCTAACACTGGCTATTACTACACTTTTTAATTTTTACCAACCTAATCGTGGCAAAAAGGGATCTCATTATGATTTCAATTTGTATTTCTTTACTTAGGAGTGGAGCCAAGCTTCTTCATGTTTGCCAGCCATTCGCCTTTCCTTTTCATGCTCTCTTTGACTTCGAAGCCATGTAGGTAGATGACTTGTGTCCTCCTAGGTGCCAGACTCTGGAGTCTGAACGGCGTGGACAAGACGGTGCGCTCTCTGTTGACAGGGACCCTGCGCTTTTCAACCCGTGCCCGGTGCACCTGGCCACCGCGCGACTGGCCCTGGGCAGGCAGGTGAGGAAGAGGAGAAACAGGTGTGGTGTGGTGTGAAGTCCCACGACTGGGGAGCTGAGGTCGCAGAAAGGACGGTCCAGATTTCCACTGAGCAGGGGACCGACACAGCCCCCGGACAGTCCCCGGAGTACTGCGGGGGATTCCTGCTGGCCCCCCTCCAGCGCGGTTTCAGAAGTTGTGAAACTACCAAGGCAACAGCCCGCCCAGGTGGGAGCTTCGGCCCCGAGGCCAAGAGGCGCAGAGCAGCAGGATGGGGTGGAGGGGCCGTCCTTTCCGCGCATTGTCTCCAAGCGGGCGGCGGCCAAAAACTGAAAGCAAAACCTTCCTGCCGGGCCCCACCTCGTGGCCCGCGCCGTGGATTTGGGCCCTGCCGGCAGCCGAAGGCGCGTCTCTCCTCCGCCATGGCAAGTTGCTTTCGTTTCGGATTTTGCGGGGCAGGGTCGTTGCCGCCCGGTTACCACGGTCCCCCAGAAGGGCGCGGAGCGGGGCGGGCGGGGGTGCGGAGCTGTCCCGGGCGGCGCGCGGAGGAGCCCGGCGCTGGCGGAGAGCCACCTGCCGCGGAGGCCGACCCGCCAGCAGACCTGGCCCTCACTTCTCTGGCACCTGCTCCTGGGGCGGTGCTGCGCGCGCCTGCAATTCCTAGTAGGCCGTGTGAGAGAGGCGCGACTCCAGGGAACGCCTTGCCACCTCCCGCACCCGGTGTCTCATGGTCGGGGACACAGCTGTCTCGTCGAGGAGTCCCTTCGCAGGCTGTTTGGGCTTAACTGTCGCCTCCCACTTCTTGGGGAACAAGAGCGGAGAGAATTACCCAGAAACCGAGGCCACTGTTTCCTTTTGAAAAGCGCCAGCAAGAAGGATTCGAGCCAAGGATTCGAGTTGTGAAGGCATCCTCATGTCTTGTCTGCATTAGTGGGAATTCTCTCTTGTGACCTTAGTTCTTGCTCCAGGCACAAAGGGCTCTGTGTTTTCACCATCTGTGCTGGCTAGCAAGAACCGTTAGCAAGTTCAAGATTTAGCCTTCCGTGTTCTTTCCATCAAGCGCATGAAAGCAGTGGCAGGGTCTTTAATTGCTAGGGTCCCGGAAATGCCAAAGCAGTCGTGAGGTTCCAGTACGATTTTGTTTATTGGCAGCAGTAAAGGCAACGCCAATGAAAATAAACAACTAAATTTTTTAAAAAGAAATACACACAAACACAGGGAATGAATCTAATTATTTCTCTCTAGGGCCTTACTTACAAACTCACAGTTTTTCTTTATAGCTTTTTGCTTTCTGACACTATGGTCAAAAGTGTCTTAAAATATATCATTGATACTGGGGAAATGCCATCACCTATTATAGTAACTCCTGGCCAAAATGCTGCTCTTGTTTCAAAATCCTGTATCTCTATGGTAACTCTTGAAGGGGTTATTTCCGAGACATCTCTTTTTCTTAATGATGGATAGAAGAGATTAGTAGTCATCAGGGAGAATTCCTTTGATTTCAAAGATAAATTAAATGCAGACACTTGAATAAAGAAATATGGCATTAGAATTGATGAGGGCAGAGGTGCAGTAACATTGTCTGAATTTAAATTGATTGGAAGTTTTTCTTTGACATTGACGAAAGGCAGCAAGGAAGCTCAGTGACTAGCCATGTAACCATTGAGATTGGGGTGGACCATTATAGCCAGTGTTGTATAGAGACAAGTCTGTGAAGTAGAATTCCTGAAAAATCTCTTTTTCTTTTCCTCTGCTAGGAAGAACTATTTTGGGATTATTACATCATACCATTTGGGACTAGGATGGAGGAACACATATATTTTTACTGTTTCCTACACAGTCTAGTTGTGAATATTTTAAGAAACTCTGTTTTCCTCCATTAAAAGTATCTTCTGTAACAAATACTCAATAGATTATTATGAGTTTCATTTTCAGAAGACACTCCCTTTGTTTTATTTATTTTTTTAATATATATATTTTTCTTTTTTTCTCCCTTTGTTTTGTATGTCTCAACATGAGCCATTTTCATCCCCTGTCCCTTTGCTGTTGTTGTGAACTCTTCTTTTGAATTTTTAATTAAATTTGACCATTAATTAAAATTTGACCTCAACCTTTTTTATTCTTATACTTTCATTTTAAGGTGCCATTGGGATGAACAGGATGTTGTGTACCTAGACTGTTTTCTTGACCTGGAAGGTCAAAAGTAGCTTGCTTGTCCCCAGTGAAGTCCTATTCTGAGTACAGAGTCCTCTGAGCTGAGAGCCCAAAACATCTTTGTGATCTGTTAACCCTTACTCAGGCTCATGAGATATCCTGTCCTCCCTGAGGGTAATTTAGGATAGATTAAGTCTGAGTTTTGGTATAATCAGGTTGGACTATCTATTTAAGCACTGGGAGCAGCTTATGAGTCCACTTCCCTAAATGGGCTGGGGAACAAATCAAAACATTGAAATAGAAGCCCCTTACCTGGATATTAGAAGAAGTTCAAGAGAGTGAGCTCAGGGAAGGATCTACTTGTAGTTAGTACTCTGTGCTCAGTATGGTGGCAGGGTCTGCAATAGCGTATGGTCTCAGTAGCTGAATTCCATCTCAAATAGGTGCAGGAGGGTAGGATTTACTCCATTGCAGCCCCAGTATTATTGCCAGGGTTTTATATTTTTTATGGTGTTTTTTTTCTAATTCTGACAAAAAAAAGTAGGGGATATGTTTCTTATTGGCTTATGTATTTTGGGACTCTACAATCAACAAAACATACAGCCATCTCCAAACTATCATATTTTGTGGTTAGCTTGATTTGTTTTTAAACTTAAATTTTTAAAATTTTATATCTCTGATCTCTTCCTTTGTGACTGCCATTACTTTTAGGCCTTTCTAAAATCAGACAAATATTAAGCAATGCTTTCCATTTATAAAAAAATTAAGAGTTCACTTTTTATATTTAACCCTCAAATTCATGTGGTATATGATGTGAGGCAAGGCTCTAGCCTTAATTTTTTTTCAAGTATCTAATCAACTGTACTAGCACTTTTATTGAATAAAATAGCCTCTCCCCCACTGGTGTGTGATGGTGCCTGTATAAGTTGAATCTTATTTTTATATTTAAAAAGCATCCTGGGTGGCTCAGATGGTTAAGCGTCTGCCTTCGGCTCAGGTCATGATCCCGGAGTTCTGGGATCGAGTCCCGCATCGGGCTCCCTGCTCCTTGGGAGCCTGCTTCTCCCTCTGCCTCTCTCTCTCTCTCTGTCTCTCATGAATAAA